ATCATTTTGTAATGTGTTTTCTTGATTAATATCAGTTGTATTGTATTTTTTATTTTTGTATTTCTCCACTTGACGACATGAATACAGTATTGCTAACAAATGAGTGCAATGAAAAAGAAGTGGAAAGGGCAAACTATAGTAAACTAATTATATGGCCTTTAAATTAAATACATTTATTTTAGGGTAAAAGAAAACTAGTGTAAAGAGAGAAAAGATTAAACACATAGTAATATCAGTATACCATTTTACAGTTGTCTGCTCAGTGCCCTGGCCTTTGGATGGCAGCGAGACTGGAGTTGACCTTGTTTTGATACAGACCTCACTGCTTCTGTCATGTAAATGCACCTAGTTAGCATCAGAACAACTTGTTTTACACAATGAAAGCAGTGAGGTCTGTATCAAAACAAGGTCAACTCCAACCTCGCTGCCATCCAAAGGCCAGGGCACTGAGCAGACAACTGTAAAATGGTCTATTATCACTTAGATAGCTCTTCCTCAATAATTATTATTATGATCATGTATTTTGTCTCAATTGTGTAAATAGTACTTCATATAATTTATTCTTTTATGTGTCCCCAAATGGTAGAAGGATTATTCCTTTCGCTAGTTTTATTTGATACAGCAATAAAGTTATATTGTTATTATTTTNATTGTGTAAATAGTACTTCATATAATTTATTCTTTTATGTGTCCCCAAATGGTAGAAGGATTATTCCTTTCGCTAGTTTTATTTGATACAGCAATAAAGTTATATTGTTATTATTTTTTACCTGCTGGCAGTTGTTGTTGTTGCTGTTGTTGCCCCATCTAGTGTGTCTTCTTGTAGTTGGAATGACCCAAGTCCTTCAAAAATGTTATTGCAATTCCAACACCCTCTCGAATTTCCCAAGGCTTAACCTGCAGAAAAAGTAATTTTAAAAGCATATTCTGTCTTCATTTCCGAGGGTCATCAGTAAAGTAGGAGTCAATGAAACGATTATAGCTGTTTCAGAGATCCCATAATTTTTATAAAAAGCTATGTCTTATCTACTATTGAGCGATTGTTTGAGAGATAAAAATCTCATCTTAACTTTAGAATTTGGGGGATGCAAGTTCAGTGCGTGCAAGTTCTTGCACAGTTCTCTTTTGCAAATTCATCCACCCAGTATATTCAGAGAGTCTTAGATTTAAAAAAAAAAATTGCTTTAATCTTGCAAGAGAAGTTTTTGTCTCTAAGATCAAGAAACTCAGGAAGAGAATTTGTTCTCCTTTGTAGGTCAGTTTTTACACCCATCCCCTGTACAAAGTTCCAGATCTAGTCGGTGCATGGAGAAAATCTCGGTTCGAAAATAATTTCCCACCTTAAGCAATTTTTGTAGGAGTAGCCTGCGAGCCGCAATCTTGGTCAGAATAAATTGAAGCGCTATTTTCTTTCCCCGCGAATGTAGGAGCAGTCTTTGTTTCACATATCAAGAAACAGGGTGGAACCAACTCCTCTAGTCCTTCTTGTGCAGGTCTGTTCTTACTGTATCCGTTGTAAAAAGCTAAGGATCTACAAGGCGCATGCAGACAGTCCTGATTTAGTATGCCCATAGACGGTTTTTTTTTTTTTTCTACGATTTTTGTTTTCGAAAACGAAACGAAAAAAAAAAGTAAATTTAAAATTTCTGCCATTCCCCAGCCCCACCCTCTTGCCATGCTTGCGCTTCAGCGCGTTCATATCCCACGCGGTGGGTTAATATTTTGCTAGGTTTGCGATCTTGACGAACTCAAGACAAAATAGAGAGTCTGTGGACAGACTCGTCCTGATTCCAAATCAATTTCCTATCCTAAACGATGTATTAACGATAGACTGTGCTTCACAGATCAAGAAACTCAGGAAAAGAATTGGCAAGGTTAAACCAACTCCTTTGTAGGTTAGTTCCTACTCCAGCTATCTCATCCTCTCGCCTATTTCCTACAAAGCAGGCTGCGGCTTATTTACCAATATTCACGTTTTTGAAAATATATTGTAAGAACTAACATACACAGGGATGGTTTCACGTCCCACGAGTTTGCACGAGTCTGGGATGTACATGTACGTTTAAAGGTTAAAAAGAAGAACCTCTTTTGTTATTCTTGTATGAAATCACTGAGTAGTAAATACGCAGTCCTCGATTAGAGCTTTGAACATCTATTTAAAAATTAAATATTTGCAAATAATGGAATTCTCAATTTTCCAATTCTCTGTTTGCTCCCCAAATTTTCCATAAACTATTTTTAAATGCTCTTGGGAGGTCTGCATATTCCCAAGAGCATTTCACATCGATAGCTTATGCAACATTTGGGGGCAAACAGAGTGAATTATGGGGAACTGAAAATAGGGAATTAAAAGTAAACTTTCTCAAACCGTAGTCGAGTCTAGAATGTCATGTCAAGCTGGAGGAAGTTCCTAAGCAGAAGAAAACTTTGCCACTAACGAGAGAACCACCCGGCCCCCCGTCTAAACAGGGTTGATAAAGGAAAATGTTCTAGGAAGAACGATTTCTTGTGAAATCTTTGCGAAGATTTATGACGTGCGCAATTTTTTTTCGGTAATCGAAAGGTTATCCTTTTTTATTTATGGAAAATTGAATTGAATAATAACTAGGTTTCTGTGTGGGAAAATTACGACGCCGCTAACAAGTTAACTGATGAGTGCATGGAAATGATGTAAGGAAAGGACGAAAGAATGATGGTAGGCTGCAAGTTAAGTACTTCCTGCGACCAAGCCAAAATTCTAAACAATCTTTATCCTTACCTGTCATTTGCGGTACCCCGACCCCGGCAAAAGGTAAATTTTGTTTTTCTTGTTTTACACATTTAAAGACCCTAAAACTACGCCTTAACATGAAGTGTGCAACAGACAAGTCGTCAGAAAATTAACCAGCCTAATGTGGCCTCCTCTGGGGTTTTGCTTGTCGAGGAACAAGATCGTGGCAACTATACAAATCTCTTCTTTTTTTTCGCGGTTCTTCGTGCTGCTGTCTAACTAACCGAAAAACCTTAGGCAGGCTGATCCTATTGTTGAGATTCCATTCTATCTTGATATAGCGAGGCTTCCGCATCATAAGACAAAAATCTTTACAGAAATGATCTGTTCGGATCGACGCCAATTGACAAATTAATAATGTACAACTGTAGTTTTTATCATGATCGATTCAGTTGAAAAACAGCAAGAGAAGTCTTCACGAAGCGTGATCGAACTTGATTTCCCTTAACTTGCCTGGGGTAGGGGCTGTCCTCCCCTCGAGAAACCTGTCCCTACTAACCGTTGCCATGAAATGTTCTCGATAGATACCTTGTCAGTTCCGTTACTCCCCAGGTAATTTGAAGAGCTTCAAACACTGAAGATCCAGAACTACGATAGAAAAGAAGCAATTTAGTTGGGAAATAACTGCGAGATTCGAACGCTACAAGAATTTTGCACTACACCAATTGTGAACATTCAGGGTCTTAATTGGCTCCTGTTCGTTCATAATTGGTCATAATTTGGCCTGAATATACCGATAACTTTTTCCTCTCAGTACATTCACATGTTGTGATTAATATAAGTCGAAACAGTTCACAGATTGTCCAAAGGTTGCGATGACTGGAGAATGGCATTATAATAATTGTAGTATTGATTAACTTAAGATCGGACGGTACACTTTTATGGAGGACGAATTTCATGATAGTAAAATATGTGTTGCTACAGGTTGTCCTTTCCAGGTGGAAGTGTCTCTGCGCAAAGCATATTTAGAAAACGTAGATGTTAGCCAGGATATTCTCCACAGAAGACTTAAAAATAGTATACTCCACGTTTCCGTACGTCATTAAGTGTTATTGAAGGTGATTACATATCTCGATTTTTCCGCTCAAAACCTCTTAAATTTTCTTCAAGTTTCTGTTTTCAAGAAGTTAATGCGAAAAAGACATCGCAAACATGAATGCATTATTAATTAAAACACAACTCGCTAAATTTTATGCACATTTTAATTTCAGCTCGCGCGGTCGCCTCGTTGTTGCGCCCTTCTCGGGAACTTGATCAAATGGACCCCACACTCATCTATGAGCGGCAAAAATACATCATTTCTTGGTTTAAAGATAACAATAACCGATAGAAGCAATGTTGAATTTTAATCAAAAACATAGAAAATGCACCATTTTCTACGAAAGCCCAAAGTTCTGTTTTGCAGAAGAAAGAGAAATATACAAAATTAGAAAACGCACGTGCCGAGAACTGTAACTCTATTTTGAATATCAACGCCTCATTGCTTTGGCGCTCATTCTGGTCCCATCTACACTACGTCGGAGGATTTTAAAAACACAACAATCACCGGTCATTTTGGATTTGTGTTTCAGGAAAACTCGGGCAGGGAAATCAAATGGTTAGCGCGACGTCATCGTTTTCGAAAAGCTACTAAAACGGAAGGCCGGCGTTTTCAAGTTCCTCCAGTTTGAAGAGCTTCTTCTCCGGCGTAGTGTGGGCGTGGCCTCATTCTACTGTTAAATAGAGCGCGATCATTCCTAAATTTTAGATAAATCAAACAAAATTATTCATTTTTGGGGAAGAGATTAACATGACCCTTTCTTGCAGCGCGCTACCCTAAGTAATTTCCATTCTTTAAGCGCTTGTGGTGACCGCCCCAAAAATAATTTGGCCTAATTGCTTGCTTCAAATTAGGAAATGTAAACAGGGACTTGACATCAATTTTCTACCGGAATTTAGCTTGCCTGGACGGCGTGGCGGGGATGGAAAGGGGTGGATAGGATACTGGGGAGGAGGGGAAAGGGAAAGGTCGTTTGCTGTAAAAACTCACTTTGTCTGTTTCTGTGAAGCT